ACCTGTACTTAGCCTGAAATTCTTACCTGCTACTTTCCAGGTTAGTAAGATTTAATCAAATGGTTAAATCCATGGAAACTTGAGCCAACTAGAAAAAGCTTCAGTACGTTTTAAGCACTGCAGCACTTTCTTCTTGTTTTAGAAACTATTAGTGACAGCTTGGAGGAACAGCTTATGAAAATTTGCTAATCATGTTTAAGTATTTTAAAATCTCCAAGCATCTCTCACTGAGTGGGGTTTTATTTTTGTATTGTAAGTTATGGATGATAACCAGCACAGTCCACAGCACAAGACACACATCCATACTGTAGAATAAAATGCTTAATACTGCCTGTTTCCTTATAGGTTTTTTTTGGAGCACTATGACACATAAAGAATTTAATCCTACATTACTTAGAAGCTAGGTGTAGTTGTAGCTCAATTTGGTGTAAAAAGCAATATATGATCACCATCTACTTCAATTATTTCATCTTCCTTCTTCTTGTAAACACTAGAACAAAAGGCCTTTGTATTCATTCTCAGTTTCTCTGCACAATTTTTTTTTTTTTTTAAAGACACTGGGAAGCATCATAAAGTAGCATATGAAGGCTAAGATACACAAAGTTACTTCAGTGCCACACTAGGACATTTTTCTCACGTGCACTTAAACAGCAACGTTCATTTGAATGGTGTCCAACAGAAGTATTTATTTTAAGACCCCTTTTTTCAGTAACTGAATTTAAGACATTGATTTTACAATGCCTGGTATAGAAGACATTCAGGAGTGTTCAATCTTACAGTATCACTCTAATTTTGTATGCCTATAGAAGACTTCTAGGTAAGTCCAAAACACATGTTGTAAAAAATATCAAGATGACAACGGAGCTTTACAGCTGTTAAGTCTGCCAGTAAGAAAAAATGGTTCCAGTACATCTGATAGGTTGAACATGTTTTCAAAGTTACCCCATGAATCTTTTAAGATTTTTTTTTAACTTAAAAAAAAACTGAGCTGTAGGAAAGTTCATTTAAAATAAGTGGAAAGACTTCACCTTGCACTGCAGTTAATGGATCTGGTCTCTAGAACTGTAAATCATACTTCGTATCTATTGAAATGAGAAAATAATTTGGGTTAGTACCAAACAACTTAGGATAAATTGTCTAGCCAGACACTACTGATGGGAGAAAGCCAGAGTTTGAACAGGTTCTGATTTAAGATACAGATAAGTGGATTTGCAATAATCTAATTAAGAGAATTCTCTCTCATCTCTTAAAATACTTCCCAGTTCTGTCTCTGTTATTGAGTTTTATTTCTCTATTACATGAAGGTAGTGTATCTTAACATATAAATACAGCCTTGATTTTTTTTTTCCTTCCTTCTCTCCCTCACCCTTTTTTTTTTTTTTTAAGGAGAGAAGCAAATCCAGTGCTAGAGTTCATAGCAACGTTAGCACAGGTCTTTTTGCTACTACCCCACCTGCAGCTATCATTCTAAGAAAACAGCAGTGAAGAATAATTAACATTTAGTACCATTTATGTCCACATGGGAGCGCTAAGCACGTACCATAAAAATGTCAATTTACAATGGTTTCAAGTATGTTAATAATTTCTGGCATTGGAATTACGCATCTGTAGCATGACCACGTAGCAGCACATTTCTTTAAATGCTCAAGTTAACCTTTTAAATCCAGGTTTAAATTTAGGTTAGGCATTTAAGAAAGCTTGTTTCATAAATGCAAAGCACCCAACAGCATCTAAGTCATACTGATATGCCAGGTGTACAAGTATGCCGTCTTTTTTTTTTTTTAAAAATGTCTGGGAAGTTCAACATGTAAATGCTTTTCAGTAGAGAGAAGGAGCATTTTATTTATAGTCACAGTACAGCTGCAGCTCATGTCACATCTGTAAGAAAGATTATTATTGTAACTCCAGGAAAAAATAATTACAATGACATACTGCAAAACACTGGGCATATACAGCCCAAATAAGCCTACAATCAAGTGATCAGTACATTAAATGAAGTCTAAGTTTCTCCTGTTCTTTTTACCCACTGCAATCCTTTTTCCTCTTAGGATGAAACCATGTTTTCAGCTTCATAGTATTTATATACAATGATCACTCAGTTCTTAAAATCAATAATTTTTATGTACCAGCTGTGGTTTGTGTTGGATAAATTACTGTAGCAGTAAGCACTAGCATATACCATTACTTACCCCATTTTATCACCTTGCCTAAGGAGTCTTCAAATACATCTATACCATCCAAGTTTGCAAAAGAAATTTAAAGCTATTGAGATAGTAGAGAAGTGGGGGTTTCTGCTAATTAAACACACACAGCATCTTGAGGCTTTGATAGAATGGAAAAAAATTAAGCACTTAAGGGAGGTCCGAGCCAGAACAGGAATCAAGTATTTTGAGCTAAGGCTGCCATTTAAACCTTCCTTTTGTATTACAATAGAAGGTTCTATCAAATTCAGCAGTAGAACGAAAAGCTCACTCTGCCCGACAAAAGCGTAATCTTTACTTGGTTCTATTTCATCACTTCCATATTTTTTCTTCCAGAAATAGGAATAAGTGTAAAAAACCCAAACACCTCATCCTGCATGAAGAAATCCTACTTTGCCAATATATTACAGAAATCCCACTGAGACATGGTGGTGGTTATACAGAAAAATAGCCATCTAGACTATGAAAGTATTTATTATTCAGCCACCAGATGAAAATCACTGTTTAAGCTCCTTACTGGAATGCTTTTCATCATGTTATTTTCAAGGCATGGTTACCAGTAATGAAATTCATTCACGATTTCTAAAAGATAGTATTACTACAAGTGGCTTAACATGACTGTATTTAAGATATCACAAAGCTTGGAATTCAGCTTTAAAAAAATATTATGCTCTATGAAGTAGTATTGATATAACGAGTATCTTGGGAGATTTACAGACTGACATCGAACAGATTCATTTATATGATGCAGAAAAAGGGACTTTCATATAAGTGTTTTGATACTGGCTTTTTAGCTGCTCAAGGTCTGCCAGGAGCAAGCAAATGAAAACATAGGTATGCCCATACACACAAAACTTCCAGGGGCATGTTATAAGATTCTAAGCAGCTTATTTTAAATAACAAAACCAAACATCAGAATTTCTTTCTTAGCTAAGTTTTACCAAGATATATTGTAAGGAACACTGTTTATTGTATTACTTTGATAACGCACAAAAATATTTGAAATGCACATTAATAATATTCTCATGTACAACTCATAGCAATTGATCCCCTTAAATGAAAAAAAAAATAGTGTATTTGAATACTCTGTATTGCATTTTATAACTTTAAATGGACTTTTTAAAAACAAGCTGTCATTATTTAAACTGTGTTCACACTTGTCACTCAGTTCAAGACATTCTTAAAATAAGCATCTCCTTTATATTAGTATCACTTCAACACTAAATGCAGTTTTATCTTTGCTATCAGTTTTACTGAAGATTTGAAAATAAAATTGAGTTAACTGCAGAAATTAATACAGAACATAAATGGTTAAACATGGTATGCTAATTTTCTACTTTGTTTTCCCAACAATACAAAACAATAAAAACCAACAAGAACCAGGTAGTTGTTAATTTGTGGCTTTGTTACATGTTTGCCATGGTAATTTCCCACATTCTCAGCCAACTTGCTTACATAGCCATTTTAGTTGGACTGAAACCCTGGAAAAAAACCAGGAATCTGTATGTGAGTTCTACCACAGCATCATTTAATATGAAATGGTTTTAGGCAATAATTGAAGAAATGCTACTGTTGTAGGTATTCACCTTGGCACTTTTTTGGTTTTTTAAAGTCACTCACAGAAGCATGTGCCAACAAGTAAAAAAGAAATTCAATGCAGAACTACGGCTCCCAAGCAAACTTGCTACATAGTTTCAGCTAGAGATAGCTACTAAAATTAAAAAGTTTATTTTAAATATAGCCCTATTTTGGACCTGGCCTTGCATTCCTCAAGCAGATGAGATCTGTAGGGCTTTTGCCTGAATTAAGAACTCTATAATCACTCTTTAGTTTAATACGTGTTTAACTACACAGCAGTGTGTGCTTTTGTGTGTATATGCATGTACATACACTGATAGGCACTGTACAGCTATATACCCAAGGCCAAACTGCAATTAAAGATTTATACTTTGAAACTGTGTCCTTTTTTAAAAACAAAATTTTAGGTTCCTTGAGCTCTGATGTTAGCAGCTATTCCTAATTTGCAAAGTCATCAGGTAGCACAACAGTTTAAATATAAAATTACTAATAAAAATGTAAAAATTGGTATATGGTAGAATATACGGGAGATAATGGTGGTAAGTAGTATTTTAGGGTCATAAGATATTCATACCCTCAGAGTGTAAAAAAAGTCAAGACTCGCTTCCAGCTGTACCAGTCACGCAAAGGCCTTACCTTCATTAGCAAGAATAATGCAACAAACCACTTCCCACAATTGTGTTATTTTTTTATATACCTCGATACGCCGGTATCGTGCCTTTACATTTTAGCATGTTTTTGCCCTTACGCACTCCAGAACTCTGAAGATGAGATTTTTGGGTGCTTCTGTGGATGAGTGATAGTTAGTAACAAAAGTGTTAATGTGGTCTTTGGCACCTCTATCTCATTAGTAAAGCGAAGTCCTGCTCCATTTTTTTCTTTAATAAAAAAATCCCATCAGTGGTGCATTCTACTAGCACTGAAGAGTAGAATAGGTCTGTACAGCCTTATGATAGGAAAACATGTGAAATGGCAACATGTGTGTCTACAATTGTCTTTCCAATCAATTGCACAGAAGCTTGGTCCACTTCTTCAGTTACAGTGTAGTCCTCTTAAGAACTTTGGTTACAGCATTAATGTTTTGGTAAAACAAAACAAAACAACAACAAAAAAAAAACCACAGAGCAGATGCTTTCCTTCTTTTCTTCAGGTAGATTTTTCATTGTCCTCTCCCGTCTTCTGAACCCGTGAATACTTTTTGCATGAAGATTTGAAGCAGCTGGGAGGCCAAGATATTGGCCAGGAAAAGCTGCAAGGAACAGAGCCTTGCACATTCTTCTCAAAGAAATAAAATATTGGATACCACCATGCTCGAGAGAGAAAGTTTGTCTGCGAAGAAACCTTTAAAGTCTGTATTGGCACAAATAAGTGAAGAGGAAAAGGAAACAGACCATCAGTTTAAAGCATTATAATCAATTATGTTGAGTCAAGACAACTACAACAGACAATACATTTGCATGCATTTCTGCAAAGACAAGATGCATTTAGCCTAGAAAAAACAGAGTATTGAGATAGCATATACATCATAGTCCAAATGTATACTATAAACTAAACATCTAACACAAACAGATGCTTTGTTGCTGTACAAAATTTAGGGAGACAAAACACTCGGGTCATTCTGAATGTTAGTCCTTTCAGGCATGTCATGTTTCCATTGAAGGCTAATAGTTGAAAACTAGATTGAAATGGCTTGAGAGCTATGCTCCTACTTGAAAGTGTTCATTTCTTAGAAATGTACTGCTAGTGACATTTACAGAAGAGCTGTCACTAGAATTTTAGGATGGTTTAGGTAGTTTAGGTTGGTCAGAAATTTTATTACTAAACTACCATTTACTCACAAGCTTAGACAAACAAGGGCTATTCTATACATCTACTACAGCAACAAGACCTTGAAGTTCAAAAAAGATGTTTTTAAGCCAAAATATCAGGAATTTTAAAAATAACTTTATAAAAAATAAATTTTGAAATAACTTAACAGGCACAGATCAAAAAAGAACATCTTAATCTATTAAATATTTACTTAAACCACAGTAAAGTGAAACTCCTTGCCCAATTTGTTTAAACTTCAATATGGCACCTCTACTTTTATTTCGAAATTAAGAACTAATTGTGACCTTTGAGCAGTATTAACAAATGCAGGCTATACATTGATTCTAGAAGGTATTTGCCACTCACCTTTTCATTAGCCATTGAGTGGTACCACCAGAAAAGCCGTGTAGTGATATAGTAAGCAATGATGACGTCTATGGTATAGTGTTCATGAGCAACAAGGATACAAATTATGCCAGCAGCACTCATTAGCCAGCAGATTAAGTGATACCACCAGAAATGACGTGGTGAATCTGTGAAATAGGGAGGTGATGGAAAAAACACACACAAAAAAGCCATATACATTATTATAGTGATCCACAAAGGGAAGGGGAAAGAAAAAAGATTAAGGCTACTAAATTTTAAAACATAATTCATTTATACCACACTGGTATAAGAACCCTGTTTTGACACAGAAAACAAGACTAAAGAATTATGCAAATTTACTGAGGTGTTCTTACTTTGTAAAATGAACCCAAGATGAGCTTGCAGTTAGAGATAGACAGCACTGTCACCATTTTCTAGTCAAATTAAGTAAGTTTTCCAGTTAAATCACTTCTAGGGTATGGGGTGCAGGGGAAGAGACAGAATTGAGGCAAGACATACACTTTGATTATTTTACTTGTGTGTATTTCATCTCTGCTCTTTTTACAGTGTATGCTCAAGTAAACTTACACTCAAGTAAAATGTCTAGAATTGATATAACCTGAGCAGAGATCACAGATTAAACAGGAAAAGACACTCTTATTTTAATTCCTAGGTTTTAACTACTTTGCATGAAACCTCTGTTCTGTGAAACAGAATACACTGTACAGGGAAGTACAGTATGTGAATTCATACCCTTTCATTAAAGATTAACGAATGGGAGTGAAGCTATTCTTCAAAATGCATTTAAGCCACTTCAGCGGAAAAGTTCCCTTGCCCTTCTTTCCCCACTGAAAAATGCCTTGGGTGTCAGAATGACCATTCATAACTTCTGACAGGCTAATGGGCTTCATTTCACTCGCAGTGGGAGGTTTTGGCACCCCTTGTCTTGTGCAGCAATGGTCAGCCTTTACTTTCACACAATACCAGCAGAAAAGCTACTGATCTCAACAAGCCTACCCGGTAGTAGTTTGAGAGGCCTATGCAAAATAGTTACTGTAGGAGGACTTAAATTTTGGTGCAAGTGTCAAAACAGTATATTCTCTTAACTCTCCCCAAAACACTGCAAACAAATCTGTATCTACTGATTTAAAATAAATAAATAAATAAATAAGGAGACAAGTCATCTAAAGAAGTTGATGAAAACAGCACCAAACAAGACACACATACCAACCCTAAAAATGTAAATAACTATTCTGGGCAAAAAAGCTGGAGTGCAGGGGAATAAGAAGAAGCAAAGGATGAAAGGAAGAGAAGAGCAGAGCAAAAAATCCACTAAGCCAGAAATAATAAAAACCTCAGAATGCATCCTGTACTGAAGACGTGTCATCAAAAGAGCAGAAAAGAATACCATAAGCAGCCTCTAATTCAGAGCAATTATAGGGCTTGAGACCTTGCTCAGATAGCATTTTGCTAATTATATGGCAGGCAGAAGAAGGAAGGCTATGCATTTCTCAGCACAACTCCACTGAAATATATGCCTAACAATTACGCAGCAGTCAAAGGGTTTATTACAAGAATTTGTACAATACTATTCCTCCAACCCCTTATGATAAAAGTACATGAGTTATACTAGCCCCAAAAGTATTGGGTTATCTGCATCTTTCCTGGTACTAAAGATATTAAAGAGTATGCGACCAGCATTAAACTGCAATAACATACACAAAACAAGGCAAACAACAAATCTATTATTAGGCTATTCTATTATTAGGCTATTTTCCTGAATACTCTTCTGGTAATTTTGGTAAGTTACACACGCCATTCCCCCAGTAACATGAAGGACCTAGGCCTAAGAATCAACAGACTATAATCAGCATCTTAAATCACTGTTTGAAGAAGAATGTCTCGCATCCACAGATTTGAAGTTCGTCATATTAAACAGGCGTTTTTATATCGTGTTTTTTGCTTAAGGCAGAATCTACCACTGCAACACTTCCTTCCTTCAACATTTTAATAAAAGGAAGGCATTCAACTGATGCTGGCTAGTCTTATTTTTGTTTCAGTGAGAATTACACATTCCCATGAGCCAAGCTAGCATTTGCGTAGTTTGGGACACAACAGTAGGAGAGAAGATTCCAATTCCAAACCTGTGAACTGGAAAGGGAACTCCCCACTACGCATTCATGACTAGCCAGGTTCCCAGGGTAGAAGCATTGCTTACCATATATCAGATTTAGAAGTTGGTGCTCCATTCTCCAAAGCTTCAATCGATGCTGTGTGTGCAGCACAGATAGATTTTCCCCCCATGCCCCATAGCAATATAAAGCAAAGGGGGAAACCATAGCCCCAACTATATCTTCTGTGTGCTTGCCAAATTCTTATCAACTTCAAGAGGCATAAGTAGGAGACTCTAGCAGAAGACATCCAAGGAGCATGAATCAACTTTCCATTGTTTGGAGTAACTGATGTACAGCACACTTAAAAGAAAGAACATTGCTTCTGGATATAATACAAGTGTGCAATGGCGCTGTGCTCAAGCCACAAAAATTCCTTAACATCGAAGGTGTATCGGCCAACCTGCACAGAGCTACCTGCATAATTAACTACAGTATGTTTTACCCAAAATTTGAATAACCTGTCAATGAATAATGAAAAGCTAGCTTGCTTCAATCAACCAGTAAACACTCTATATAAAGATAAAAATGACATGTCTAGTCACATTAAGCCCCTAATTAAAGCCCACACCACTTTTACTACACCCATGTTCCATTTTCGCTCAGCAATTGAACTCATGTTTTGTATTTCAAACCCATACACGTACAGTCTGTGTACAGCAGACTAGTAACTTTTGGAGGGCAATAGTTTTTACATGCACTTTTATCATGTGTTTTCCCAGTACAACAGATTTGAACAAGAAAAGTGCATTTAAATACCATCACTTACACTCTTTGATGAACAGGTAGATCAGTGTTAATACCACAGTGTGACCACTGAACAGGAAGTCTCCGCATAGGATGTGTGATCCAGTTATGGATAGACCACCACCAGAAATCAGTCGCAGGATCCTCTGAACCTTTGCCTGAGAATCTCCATTCAACTAGAACACCAGAAAAAAAGTACAAAAATAGTTCAAGATACACCATAACTGACTTGAGTAAACTTCTTGCCCAAACATATGTGGAGAGATAGGGAGAAAAGGACACAAATTATCTTAATTTTCTTTGGCTTTCTTTCACATATTCTTAAACAAATAAGCATGCATATCAAAGTTGACAGGTGCTAAAGATCAGCTTGATAAGACTAGCATTCTGTCTATGCTTTCCCAGGCTATTTTAAAATATGCATTGTATGAGAATGAGATGCAGAATATACTGGAAAGGTAAACACTAAAAATTTGTAAGGTCAAGTATCTCATGATAGCCATTGACGGAATGGATAAAACCCATTCAAAACCAGTTCCAATACAGTACAACGTTGCATGTTGCTTCTGGCATTCTGTTCAGAGCCAAGCAATGTTTCTACAGAACAAAACCCTCAAACTCGCTTAATTTTAGGTATGATTACAAACTCAGTCAGGACTGACTTGGATTTAGAGGATTTATTTTTTTTAAACTTGCACTAGGATCAGCTTTTGATTTCTCATCGATACTAGGCAAACACTCAGTTTCACCTAGCTGTTTAAAGATTAACTCCAGAAGAAAACACCAAACAAGATAAAGGGGTAACTGAGTTTTTCATAATCAGAAAAATATTCACATGGGACAAAAAAAAGAAATCCAGAAGAGCGATCAAGTTTTTCCAGAGTTCAAGTAATTCATCCTGTTTTAATGCTAGCAAAATGCACTTTCAGCAGAGACATTTAAGTTTTCCTTTGTTTAGCCCTTCCCATTCCTTAATACACAGTCTGCTACACACAAAGTCATTCCCCAAGCTACTAGAACAAAACAGTTGAGTCTTTACTATACTGGTACGTAAATAAAACTTTTTCAAATAGATACTGATTCATAAGAAAAGTAGTTCATCCACTATGTTCCTAAGTTGTCCCAACATGAAAGAACAAGACTGAACAGACATGATGCTGTACCTCAAGACCGATGAGATCCTACACAAGAAGTGACAAATTTATCCCCCAAGTTAATTGGCAATATTTTTAGGTTTCAAAATGCTTATCTTCTCAGTGCACAACCAAACTGTTTCTTGTTCTCTCAAGTGCACTGTTCTTTCAGTGCAGCCAACAGGATATAATTTGTTCCAAGGCAATTATATGCCTACAACTTTTCATTAGTAACCTAAGATGGCAGTTAACAGAATTCCTTTGTGTCACCACCTAACTACACTGCCACGATATTTCTACAAGAATATTTTAAAAACTTTACCATGTACATGTTTTTATATGTATCAGCTCATTTAAATAGCTGAACTTGTTTTAGTCACATTTATATACTTTTTGCAGGTTGGAAGCAGGGACAGGCAGCTGACTTCAGGTATTGCAACAGCTCTTGATAAAATAGTGTGAGAAAAAGGACAAAGCATATAACAACATTGGTTTTTTTTAAAGCATACTGCAACACAAGCTTGTGTATGAGCCTATGAATTACAATATTGACCTTAGGTATCCCACCATGTATGAAAAAATCTTGGTGCAGTATTAGAGCTATTAGCTTGAGCCTCAGAAGCAAGTTCAGTAATTTGGTAGCAGCACTATTTCAACATAGGTACTCTCCTTTAAAGCATCTTAACTGCAGCAACGGCTTGAGGCTCTTTCTGTATCACACAACTTTTGGTTTATCACTATCTATGTTTCTGAAGACATCAACTGAAAGTAATTTGTGTTATTTAATAACACCTGGAACATTATCTTCTATTTGCTGTAATGAGCCATAAGGACTCAGGCAGAGACTAAGGCAAGAATTAGGGAGCAAAGGCTCTTACCTTTGGTGCACACTGAAAATGCATTCCAGGCACAGGTAAGGTGGTAACGTACATAGTAATACAGCGGTACAGATACAAAGTTCCTATTATAAAAAAGAACCTGCGTCCCACTATTGATCTGAAAGTAAGGGAAAGGGAGAAAAAGATTGAGTACAAAGTTCACACACAGGATATACATATAACAGTTATGGAGCTCTTGCTTTACTATATAGCTAAGTCCGTAGAATTAAAGAGCAGCTCCACTCCCTGCTCTTCACCACGCACTTCTCTAAATCAAATACTAAAAAGTCTTTCTTCAGGTTTTAGTCTTGCTAGCTCATAATAGAACATAACTACCACAAAGCTCCCACCAAAGCTATCTAATCAATTTAATGTTGCCTCAGTCTAACTTAGGTGTGCAGTCAGGCACAGTTTTCCTCGACTCAGTGACCTTCTCTTTAGTCCCATATTATAACCACCTACTTGATTTAAATATGTATAGTTTAAGCAAATGAAGATAAAGGAAAAAGCTTCTAGTCTAGCTGTAGAGGACAGTGGGTTCCTCCTCAAATTTGTATGAGATTTTTTACATCATCATGATTTCCTGTGTTTAAACATCACCATGTCAGTAAACACACTTTGAAAACCCCAATCCCAGAATAAATTTGACTAGTGCAATATAGGTGTCAGAAATTCAGATTTAAAAAACATTATTCAGTAAGCAGGAGAAACCGTGTTTCCGTACCCAGCATGGACACTGGAACATTTTCTAAGGAAGTCATCCCTTTGTCACTTTCCTGCCAACCCTATTCTACAATATTGCTACAGATGCTACCACAAGATTTCTTCTACCCAAAGTAAACAAGGGAAACCAACGTTCTGAAAACATATAGCAGAGAAAAAAAAAAATACAGCTACTTACTTGTATCTAAGAAACAACCACTGGAATATCCATAATCCCACTAGTATCATTCCATTTATTTCTGATACAGAAAAAGCCCATTTCACACGATCAATGTAATCAAAAAATTTGTCAGGCAAGGGAGGGCTTAGCTCCTTTGGAGGTACTCTCTCATGGACCACAGTGATCATGACAGTTGTTAGAATCAAGTTGAAGAGAGCGTAGACAAAGGCAATGCCTGTTTTCCACCATTCCAGAGGAAATTTGTTCCTAGACTCAGCAGGCATAGCAATCTGGATGTAATCAGGATATTTCTTTGCTGTTTTTCGCAAGCCATTAGACAAGCCCTTTGATTTGCTAGTGCCATTTTTGTTCTCTTCATTGACTGAGAGAGTAGGTCTTGAGTAGCCATTAGAAGGGTCATTGTTTTGACCCTCCATATGCTCTTCAAGCTTTGCTGTCTCAATGGTATTCATTCCAGAGATGTATGGCCAAATCAGGTTTATCAGTGACCAATTTCTGGGCTCTCTAAAGTCTGTTATTCCTCAAAGTCCAACGTTCTTGTTCCTAGATGATTTTTGATTTCTGTGAAACTCTAAAAAGTGTCCATTGTGCTTTCACTATTCAGATACTGTAAAGCAAGTCGTGAAGACGAATCTTTCTTTCCTCTAGAGCTGTATCATCTGCAAAAAAACCAAAACAGATACTGAGAACCTTCAGAACTAGCAACATGACACTGAACAAGTATCTTAAAAATGCTTATTCTAAGTTCCATCAAAGTCTACTTACATATACAGTCAAAAGGCAAACTAGAGACAGGTGGTTACTGTGAAATAATTCAAGCCAGTTCCTACTGAGTAACTTGATAAATCTCTGATCAGTTTAGGAGCTAGTAGTAATTTAGGATTATTTTTTTTTTTTAAAAGGACAAGATCCACAGACTTTAATGATCATGACAGCACTTACTTTATCAGTTGTCAGAATCAAGACTAATCCATGTTTGCAGCAATATTGAATTTTATTACTTAGGGACATTCCATACAAAGTATCTCCTTTTTGATCCTAGGGTTGCTATAGATTAACATGGTTTGTCCTCACAAATCAGGTAGTCCAGGTGATAGGACAGAAAACAGAAGGGCACTACAGGATTTGATTTTGTAAGGCATAAAGTAATTTAGATTCATCTAGGAAGTCTATTCAGTAGATAGCTCCATTTTCTTAGATCTAAATGAGTATTTCAACCAAAACAGTAAAAAAAAAATGTGTCTACATAGCTACTGTAGTACCCACTAAATAATGTCTGAAATTTCAGAGAACTGAGAAATATACCTCTGGATTAGATTCTTAGTTATAGTAACCTATATGTAGAGCAGACTACAAATGGATCTGTGTTTGGCCTTTAATTACTTAAAAGTATGCCTAAGTAGATTTTTTTTAAAAGGAATAAATAGCAAGATTCATTATCACACAGGATTTATTTCAGGCTGCATTTGTCAGTTCAGTAAAATCTCATTAGATAAAAAAATCAGGTAAGTGCATATGTTTTATAGCATTTTCTACAAAGGGAAAAGAACACAGTTCACCTCTACAGAACTGATATTGCTCTAGTCGAAACAAAAGTCATTTTTTCCCCCCATCTTTAAAGTTCTGTGAAACCACGTATCCTAGTTGTGATGTACCTATTTTTATTACTCTGTTCAGCTCCTGGCAAAAGTAGTTTGGGGAGTTGGACCTTTAAAGGTCCCTTCCAACCCAAGCTATTCTAACTATTCTATGATTATCATGTACAAAGTGTTCACTATCTACCAGCAAATTATAATTATCTCTTTTCTTTAATTGTTCCTCTAAGAGAAGTTCAACACTACCACCACCTCAAGTCTCTGCATGCCAACACAGGCTGCCACAGTTTGCCATGCTATATGTACAATTAAGTCATCATGATGAAAACTAGAGGTGCCGGTCTCCCTAACCATACATCACAGAACATGGCTTAACAGAAAACAACATGCTTAGGAAAAACCTGCCCAGTAACTGATCTCTTGATAGCAAGGACAATCTAAAACCAATACAGCCTGGAAAGTCAGGTGTTTGTGTTTTGGTCCCTCCCACACACACAGAGAAGATATTTAACATGATCAGCATGTAAATCCCACTGATTTCCTAGCTGCTGCTCTTACTGCTGAAAGAGAGAAGAGGTAAAGGTTCAAATCACAAATATGTGAGATTCATACAAATAATACTGAAATAGTCAAGAAGCATTTCTAAATTAACCTCTCAGCAGTGTTTCTGAAACCCACTGTCATTGGTTGACCTTTTCTAAATCCCTAATCAATTAGTGTATGAAAACTGAAACACACACACACACACCACCCAAACAACAACTCTCCACCCCCCAAAAAAAACACCCAAGGAAAGAAGTGGAGGTTTCAGATGCTTTTTCTCCCTCTTACTAATCAGACCATAAACTCTGCTTCACTAAGAGAAGGGGATGTTTAACCCAGCAGCCAGGCCAACGACCTCTCTGATGCTTCCTACAACCAAGAATATTCTTTTAGAGCAGCTGCAAAAGTAACAGCCTTACTTAAAACTGTAGTAGAACAACATTTCAACTTTCACGAGTCCTTTTCTTAACACACACATTCTTCTATTCCCTCTGTGTACTAAAGATAAGCATACGACAGAACGCTTAAGTGACAGTATAGAAAAGTATCTGAACCTGTCTAATTGCTTAAGTTTTGGAACACAAGTCTACCTAGCACTCACCTACTAAGTCAAGACCCTTCTTCTCAACACCATGTTATACATAGCAGTCACTGATGTAGAGATCAGCAGTTAAAACTTGATATATTTTATATCCTGCACAGTTGAAACATTTTTAGAACTATGCATTTACTGAAGAACAGAGCATCACAGTAAGTAGCAACCTTAGTTATTTCCTTCTCTTCCCCACAAATACCTAAGGAAGGCCTTTTTTTTTTTGGATATTTAATGACATCCAAGTAAGCCTTAAAGATGAAAAAGCATTTGAACTACAGACGAACAATAACCTAACAACCTAAAAGCAGAGTGGCACTCAGGTTTTTATATTAACTTATTAAGCAAAGCAATTATACCTACAGCTTTGCAGCAAAAAGTTGTGTTCCTTCCTGGTACTTCTAAATGGATTATAAAAGGCATATTGATCTACCATTTCTGATGGCTCATCAAGATTATTTCAAGTAGAGTGCATACTGTGGTCAAACCTTTGTTTACATTCATAGTTCAAAGTGCTATGTATCATCTGGTCAGTGATCTGTAAGAACATAAAGGCTTTCCTTTATAGTACCTTTTCAACCTGTTTTTCCCATATTCTAAAAGAAAGCAGAAACTCTATTGATGAAAAAGTCAAACACACTCTGCTTGAAGCTTTCAGTCCCTTGCTGCCAATCTGACTGGCCAGAGAAGTGACAGATAGAGAGCACCAATAGCCTAATCATCCTCTGCTACAGGCTGTAAAAGGAACTCCCCAGAAGTACACAGGTTGTTCTGCCAACTTCCTGTCCCCAATTCACATGCCCATCCAAGTCCCTGTGAGGGGTGTGTTCCTTTTAGCTTCCATGTTGTCCTTACATTAATTTAGGTAAAATATCCTATTGCTTCTTTTGTCAAACCCGGAGTTCCCCCATATCAAAAACAGGAGATGCCCATAAACTGCCTAGTAGGCCTTAGACTTCTTCAGTAACCAGCCAGCAATGCTCAGACCTGGCCATCTTTCAGACATCTAAGGTCTGAAAATCAAACCCGATTGCTCTAAGCTATGGAACATTTACTGGGGGAGTCTCAAAGACACACAAAATTGGCCAAGTTACCCAAAAGGAGAAATAAAATTCCTGTAAGGGATACACCCAGGTTTTAGGAACAAGTTTTCTTTTTGGAACCACTTCAATACCTTCTAAAAATAGACATGTACCATCATCAAGGAGTAGAGCTTCTTAACCAGCAATATTACAGCAGAAGTCATAATTGCCACAAGGAACAACATATTTCAAGGAAAATCTTAAGAGTGAAAAAGATGCAAGAGCAGCAAGGGTCCTAACTGTTCATCCTGAGCTTCTACTTGCTCCCATGCAAATAGCTCCTTTAGTTTTCTGCATCCCCATTTGACTGTCATTCAAAAGAAAATAGTTGACTGGGGGTACAGCTTTGAGGTAAGTATAAGAAAGCACATCTACATTTGGCTTTTTATGCTAGAACTTAAGAATAACAAGCAGTTTTATTTAGCTTGTTAGTCATCCGATTTTCACGTAAAGGTCGTTTTCACATAAAGTTAGCTCACAATTGGTGTTTCTCATCCAGTATTTGAACTTCTGCAACATTTCTCAAAATATTTTAACTTCTGTAATTTATCAAGGACTGAATAGTTACAATTTGCATAGGCCTTCCAAATAAGTAGTTCCTAGCCTGCTGTTCCAAATATGAACAATACTATTGGAACAAGAGCGTCCAAAACAGTAAGACCGATCTAGTCCGACATTAAGGAAAGCCACGGACTCATATACAAGATGGAAAACGTTTCTAGGCAGTAGTATTTTTAAACCTCATTCACTCTTGTTAAAGTTGGCTCAAACATTTGATACAGCTGTAATATATTCTTGTATTTGGTAGTTGCAGAAAAAGGGTCTGTAAATAAAGTACTGCAGAAAAAAAAAAACCACAATTGGAGATAACATGAGATAAAGTTATGGATCATACTGTTATATCACAATTAGCAGGAAAGAACTGCTAGCTAGTTTGTGTTTTCTTCAAAGTTTTAGGACTACTTATGGGACCAGAATTAGAAAATAGAATAGAATAGAATCATTAAGGTTGGAAAAGACCCCTAAGATCACTGAGTCCAACCGTCAACCCAACACCACCATGCCCACTAAACCATGTCCCTAAGCGCCTCATCTACACGTCTTTTAAATACTTCCAGGGATGGTGACTCAACCACTTCCCTGGGCAGCCTGTTCCAATGTTTAACCACTCTTCCAGTAAAGAAGTTTTTTCTAACACCCAATCTAAACCTCCCTTGGTGCAACTTGAGGCCATTTCATCTCGTCCTATCACTAGTTACTTGGGAGAAAAGACCAACCCCCACCTCACTACAACCTCCTTTCAGGTAGTTGTAGAGCGCGATGAAGTAGCCTCTTCTACCTTGACAGCAACGAATAAAAACTGGCTTTTTGGGGTTTCTCTTTTTATTTTTTATTTTTAAAAGCATTTCAGGTCTCCGCTTGTTTTTATAGTATCCCTTCTTCCATGCTATATGTACGCCTCACAGCATGTAGACCATTGGGGAAAAAAAACACCAAAAAAACCAGAAAACTGCTAAACCAGATCTGAGCGAAGTACATTTAGGTATGCAGAAACAGGACTAGGTTTGATAGGTTTGCTTATCATTTC